TAGCAGTAGCAGCAGCAGTAGCAGTCGCAGTAGCAGTAGCAGTAGCAGTAGCAGTAGCAGTAGCAGTGGCAGTAGCAGTAGCAGTAGCAGTAGCAGTAGCAGTAGCAGTAGCAGTAGCAGTAGGACTAGGGGTAGGAGTAGTAGTAGTAGTAGTAGTAGTAGTAGTAGTAGTAGTAGTAGTTCAACTTAGGTTTTAAAGGGCGGGGATGAGTTCAGTTGGCGTGGCCCCGAAGTTGTATTGCAGGGGGTGTTTATTTGATTGGGGAAGCGATTATAAATCATTCAGTCCCCTATGATCTCTTGGATTTGTGCAGGGCTTAAGGCTTAGGGTCTTTTATTGGGGATTTAGTAACACGTGTTTAACACGGCTTCTGCCACTACGATTTACCGCTCCTACCACGGCGACGGCGACGGCAACGACGACGACTGCTGCTGCTTTCTTCTGCTACTACTACTACTACTACTACTACTACTACTACTACTACTACTGCTACTATGCAATGGCCGGGATCGAATTCACGGCTTAATTAAGGCCTTCGGGGTCTGCCGCTATGACTTTGGTATAGATGTTTAGGGTTCAGGGTTTAGGGTTTCGGTTTTAAGGGGCTTCCAGCCTTTGCAGCTCTGGGGTAGTTTAGCAGAGCGTGCACTTCTCCCAAGCCTACGACGCCCCTTCCACCCCATCTGCAAGCCCGAGACGGCCTAAATCCGCAAAAGCTTGACCCCCAAAGCCTAAACCCCCAGAACTTGAACTCGAAATCCCTAAACCCTAAACCCTAAACCCTGAAACTCCAAGAGCCCCTCGCCAGCCTCGCTTCGTATGTCTTTCAAGCTGGGAATCTCCGTCGGCAGATGTTCTGGGCCTGTGGTGGTTGCGAGTTCAAGGGGGCCTGGGGTTTGAGCTTTTGCTTCTGGCTTATGGCTCGGTCTTTTTGGGGGGCTGCTACAGTTTCTTGGAGTTTAGACGTTAGGGCTTTGAAAGTTGCGGGAATTTTGGGCGCGTTTTGAACTCTTGGAGCTTCTCGTTGTGTACGGCTTCAGGGTCTAGGGGTCTGAGGTCAGAGCAAGAACTCAGGCGCCGATAGGGGCTGAGGCTTTCGAGTTTCAACGCTTCAGTTTCGTGACTAGCAGGTAGCCATAGGTCTCGGGTTCAGGGTTTTTGGGCTGTCTTTGTGGCCGTGGGTCCAGATGAGTGTTAAGGGTGTCGGGGCTTAGGGAGGAAGGTTCTCCGTGATAGGCTGGCTGGATAAGAACGCCCATGGTTAGAATCGGCGCAGGAATCCTGGGTTCATCTCGATTTCGGTTAGAGTAAAAATGCGGTCATTAGATTACAGGCTTGGGGTACATGGCCTCAAAGTTTAAACTAGTTTAAACCTTATACGGGCGTACTCAATGTCCCATGTCTGAAAGGCTTGACGAACATGAAGACGCCACTCCAAAACCGATCCCGGCAAACCCTCAACACAAGCTGCAAACCCTAAAACTATCACTTCGAAGCCGCGAGCCCCTAGACTCTAAACTTGGGACCTTAATCCGCAGCTCAGCATTCACTTGCACGGTAGCCCGGCTAGGACGGAAAAAGCCAAGCGGCAGCTTTCTGCGACCAGGAGCCTCGAATAAGGGGCTTTTGGTGGCTAGCGTTTATTCAGGGCTTAAGGATTGCGCGCATAGTAGGGTTCAGGGGTCTAACATTATGGAGCTTAAGGTTGAGGGGTTTAGGGATCAGGGTTGTGGATTTTAGGAATTTGGAGCTGTTAAACGAATAGTTTGAGGGTTGACGGATAAGACTTTAGGCTGTAGAAGTTTGGGCTTGGTGTTTGGGCAGGGGCACAGGGCTGCTAGGGTGTGCGCTGGCCGCAATGCTTGATACATATGCACGCGTAAGTAGACAGACAGACAGACAGACAGATTGATAAAGGTAGATATACACATAGATATATATAGATGAATAAATAGATACATAAATAGATATACAGGTATATAGATATATAGATATGTAGGTATATAGATATATAGATATATAGATAAAATATATGTAGAAAATACAATGTAGATTTAGAAGTTTGGATATGGGTAAAGATATGGAAAAAGCAGGTAAAGGTATAAGTACAGACATAGATATAGGACTCAGAGCTGCGGGCACGTACATGTGGATATCGATACATGGGCTATCTGTTCATGTCTCCTCATAAGAACGTCCAACTGTGTATGTGTATATATATATATATATATCAAACTGCACAAGCATTCGGAACATTCTCGCTGATACAAACAGTGGCAACAGCATAAAACAAGCACGTATGCATGTGCATGCATGTGTATTCATGTGTACGTGCGTGTAAGTTTGTGTAAGTGTATGCATGCACGCATGCATGCATGGATTGATGGATGAAGGAATGGATGTACGTCCCTACGCAGGTAAGTCTGTGGGTATGCTATGTATGTACGTATGCAAGTATGTATGCATGAGTATATAACCCAAAACCCTAAACCCTAAACCCTAAACCCTAAACCCAAAACCTTAAACCCTAAACCCGGGGCCCCGCAAACAACAGGTGCGAACAGCCAGGCCCGCCACCTGCCATACTTGGAGGGTCGGGGGACTCAGTAAATGGTTATTTTTATAGACTTATAAGTACTATAACCCCAATTGGGTCCCTTTTAGGGTACTTATAAGTCTACTTATTACCTACTTACTAAGTCTTTCGACCCTCCAAGTACCAGCCCACAAAGCGTGGGACTTCTCTCGCCGCGACGGCAGGCGAAGTATACATGCGTCTGTTTGTATACGAATACATATGTATGCACGTATATATATATATATATACATAGATATACATGCTTGTATTTACATATCTATGTTTCCGTAAGCCGCTCATATATGTATGTGTATAAGGAAATGTATATGTATACGTATATATATGTAACATGTACATGTATGTATGTATAATATATGTACATGTATGTGTGTATGTGCTCCTCGCATACCAATCGCCAAACAATCTGAAACTAAAGCCGGCAAGTGCAACCAATGAATGAAACTGGATTCGACTCTCTCTTTCGCCACTGCAGCCAGTCTCGCCGTAGAACGGCATCACATTAGACTCAGGTAAACAGATAATAAAGATGGTGATGAAAAAGGCGTTGAGTCTGCCGAACACGGTAGGCAAACTCAACGGCCAAACACTAAGGCGCCAAAGTGCCCGCCAAACCTGACGCATAGAAACGAACTCATGCCAGCGTCTGGTTCGCGGGGTCTTGTGTTGCAGTTATAAATCTCACTGCAAGAAGACGGCTTCGAGATTGGCTGCGTTTTACATGTCGGCTGCAGTGCACTAAGCAGACATGAAGAAACAGCTTAGACATGTTGAAACGCAGCACAGGAATCATGATGTAGGGGCCTTCATAATTAGAATAGGGTTGGGGGTATACTATGCTACCATTTTAATAAGGAGCCCCCAAAATAGTATAGGTAATTATTACGGCCCCTTGTAGTAGAGTAGCCTCAGGCTATGTTCGCCGGCGCAATACGGCTCAGGCCTTCTCGTGTTGGTGCAAGACGGGACACTGAGACTCAGCCGTAGCTTAAAGGGCTTAGAATTCAGGGTTTACACCCTAAACCCTAGACCCTAAACCCTAAACCCTAAAATCTAAACCCTAAACCCTAAACCCTAAACCCTAAACCCTAAAGCCTAAACCTTTAGGGCTCAGGGTTTACTTCTCAGGGCACCGTGTCTTGCCCCTGGAGCAGGATCGTGATGTGGTCACGTTAACCGAAAGAGTTCTCTTTCGGATACACGAAAAGGCCAGCAATTAGAGGTTTGGGGTTTAGGGTTTAGGGTATAGGGTTTAGGGTTTAGGGAATGTGGCTTCAACAAGACAATACCTCACTGACTTTCAGAAGCTGCAATGACCCACCCCCAAGCTCCTTTAGACAGTCTGAAAACCGGCAAGTTGTGAAGTTGAGCACTTCAACAACAAGAAGGAGGAGTGGCGAATTTGCTCGTATGGTTAACTCAAGCTTGCATGAATCCTGCATATCACTATGGGAAGCAACAGACCTCCAGAAGCACGACTGCCTCAGGATGCGCTGGCACACACACTATCGCTGTCTGATAGGCTTAGGCAGCCGACAACTCTGCTAAGCAAAGCTGCGACCTCATTCCTCGTGCATGACGAGAGAAGGTGCTCGTGGTAAGAGTCTGGACTTCTCCACCCACGTGCATCTATGTTTACAACAAACGGTAGCCTTTTGCTGAGGTCATGCTTTTTCAAGTCCTCGAGCCACGACTCACTGCCAAGGAAGACAATAAGGGGGAGTTCTTTATTGCACCTCTGCGATTTGAAGAGTGCTGCCCGGAATTCCTGCTGAGTGCAACACTCCAGAGCATCGTCAACACCCAATCGCTGAGCATGTTGCTGAAAGATGAAGCGCTCATAGTCATAGCCGCCAGCCACGAGGACATCCACCTTGCCCCCGAAGCATGGTGGCCCGCTTCCGGTGGTCCTTGCACGCGGTACTGCCTCGGCACTGCTCCTAGCCATACCGGAGCTCGAAACACTTGGATCTGTCGCGCTTCTCCCCGGCATCCTGGCTTCGGCAGTTGCATCTGTCTCGCTTCTCGGCATAGCGGACATAGCGATTGCGACTGGAAGAGACCTACTGCCGGCAGGCCTTGAGCCGTAGGGCTCGGGTCGGACAGTGCAAGCTTAAGGGGTTCAGGAGTTTCGGATGAGAATGGCAAAAAGATCGCAAAGTTGACAATTGCGTTAGAAAGTGGTAGCGACAACGACGATACCTCACGTCAACAGATGCTTGTGAAGGCAAAGTGTCTGGAGAGGCATCAGCCCATAGCATGAGCACGAGATGTGAAGCAAGCAGATCCTTGCACTAATCCGCACAACAAGCAGTAGTAGGCCCAAAAACCCTCAGAGGAGGCTCTGAAAACCTTCAATGTTGGAGCCCGGCCTATCCTCACGATCCAAGTTTCTGAGACGGTTGTGCCTCATGGGGAGCTTACGTCGATGAGGCCACACGTCACTTCTGGCAAAGACTGCTGGTTCTATAGAAATCCGTCGAGGGATGAGGATGCGCATGCAAATGCGAAGGAAGGGCAAGAGCACAACGATGACGATGATGGGTGCGATAACGACGATGAAGAAGCAGGTGCGTAGGAGGAGGAGGAGGAGGAGGAGGACGAGGAGGAGGAGGAGGAGGAGAGGATGATGGTGATGATGGTGATGATGATGAAGATGACGATGATGATGATGATGGTGGTGATGATGATAGTGATGGTAATAGTGATGCTGATGATGGTGATGCTGATGCTGATG